CAGCATGCTGGCTGGGGAATTCTGGGAGTTGAAGTCCACACTTCGTAAAGTGGCCAGGGTTGAGAAACACTGGGCTGAGGTGTGGAAGGGGAAGCTCTACAACCAGCAAGTATTTGTCGCCAGCTGGTGGGTAGAGCGCCAGTCCCTGCCAACCAGGCCTTACGATGGCCAAGACAAACTTGGTGTTCCTGCAAATCTCAACGTTTAAACCTGGGCCAAATGCTAACTGTCCCCAAATACTGTTGGCATCACTGGAGTGAGAATCTTGCTGATCATCAGAGCACATTTCTATCTGCCTGTGCACTGTTGCTCAGTTCACTCAAGGGAACGCTTGCTTGGGAAAAGCATCTACCCGTTTTTCACGCTCACCTCATCGTAATGACTCTTTGCAAAGAGCAGAGCGCATAGCTCTCCGTACAGTGCAGCTTTGTTGGCTTGCTGGCCGTGCTCTGCTAGCTTTTCCATATAGGACTGCGCTAATTTGAAGGTTTCTTCTCCCAAGTGGTATTTACAGTTGCCATTCCGGACATGCAGCAACCTAGGAAGGAGATCGGGGAACTGTGTGATGACCCAGTGCCTGGTGAATGACTCTCTTACAAGACGGTTGAAATGGTACGACTATCCATAACCATGAAGACTTCTCACCCCTGCCTTAAGATGGCAAGCATTTTAAAAAAGCAAATGTCAGCAAATCCAGAAGCAGCAAGAGACAGAAAACCTTCATCACCAGCGGCTATACCGTAGCTCAGTTCTAGTAAACCACCCTCAATTGTGGCTTACCAAACTGAGGACTTTTATCGCCTCTCTAAATTTTTGTATGCAGCAATGCCAAAAATATGGAATGGGGCAAACTAGAATATTTCACTCTATCTGAACTGGAAAACTACGGTTTAATGGTTGACTATTAATCAAAGCATTATATTAATTCTGGTTTGTAACCAAAAACCAGAAATTCTAATTCGGGTTTGTAATAAGAAATCAGAATTTGAATATAGTTTCCGGGTTCCAACGAAACGGGAAACTGTGGTTTAAGAAATTACAACACCACTAGGGAAGATAGGAAATTATGATCAGAGATTATGAAAGCAATTTTCATTCTCAACCTAACAAGTGACTTTCCCACTTTTATTCTTTTATTCTCCTGATATGCTGAATTCCCATGATCCTGTAAATAGCATGTTTTACTGAAGTAGTTATGTCTAAGTCAGGCCATCATACCTCTGAATAACAGCTGGAATTGTTATATTATAAATTATAAAGACAAGTACATATGCTTCAGAGTAACTTTCTGGATGAGGATGATGGGTTTCTTTAATTGCTCCTGCTTTTTTTAAGTGTAAGCCACTCAAGAGTTGTTTGGAGTTGGGTGGCCTCTAAATCGTATTAAATAAAATACATAAAAATTAGCCTCCCTAATCCTTTTTTTTTCCTTCTCCCTGAAGGAAAAAGCTGTGCTTTGGACACACCACCCTAATACAGAGAGCACTGACCTTGTTTATAAAAGTAATCATTGAAGCCTTGAGCAAGTTGATAGAGTGACCCTGCAAACTATCTTATGGTGGAATTCCTACCTGTCTTCCATGAAAATGTAACATGGTGTTTCTCAACCTTGATAACTCTAAGATGTGTGGACTTCATCTCCCAGAATTCCCCAGCTAGCCACACTGGCTGGGGAATTCTGGGAGTTGAAGTCCACACATCTTAGAGTTCCTAAGGTTGGGAAACACTGCTGTCATGTCTTTCCCTCCAGCTTTAAATAGCAACTAGGGCCCTTCTCCTTCACAGGGACAAAATCAGGGAGGTAGAGTAAGCAAGTGCCAGACATGTTCGGTATTATGATGATTTCTTTTCCCCGTCTGTGTCTTTAATAGAGATTTGAGCAGCCCCCCCCCCTTTTGTTATTTCAAAGGGCCCTGAAAATGTGGCTCTTCACCCAGGCCTTTGGCGAGGGTGACTGACCCCCCCCCACCACTTTTCTTCCTTTTCTTTGTTCCCATCCAGGTTTGTTTTCCCTGCCATCTCTGTTCTTTTGTTTTGGGTTGTTTTTGTATTTTTGTACTGTTCCTTGTTTTTAAATGTTTTTAACAATTTGTAAACTGCCCAGAATAGCTGGGAGTTGGGTGACATATGAATTTAAATAATAATAGTGTACAAGCTTTTCCTAATATTAATTTTCCACATCCACAAATCCCAGATAAAATTCTTCCATTTAAGCCATTGTAAAAACACAATTTATGGGAAACAGGAACTGGCTCTAAGGAGTTAAATGAAGACCCAAAGGCAGGTGATTTGCCCAGTTTGTCAATTCAGCCTTAATATGTAATCTGTATTAACATATTAAATGGCACCGATTAATAAAGGAAGAATAGTGTTGGTTCCCTCCTTTAAGTTGCTCTAAAAAAAATAAAATAAAGAGCAGGATTGCCCTCCTTTAGTCAGTCTGTTGTGCAAACAAGTGAAGCATAAAAGTAGCACAATCTAAAATAGTCAGCAACAAATTGGTAAAGGGAAAAGATGGCAATGCCTAGGCTCTTCAGCCAGCCAAGGTAACTTTTTCTACATGCAGGTGTGTCTACAGGGGGAGACAAAAAAGTCAAAATGGCAGCAGTGACCTTTGAGCATACTGCATGTTATTAATATCTCTTCCTCCAATTTTAAAATCATGCTTATCATCTTCCTATCCAGCTTCCCTCAATATATATTCAGCATATAGATTGAATAAATAAAGATAGAGAATACAGCCTTGTCTCACTCCTTTGCCAACCCGGAGCCAGTTGGTTTCACCATGGTTTGTCTGTACTGTAGCTTCCTGACCTGTATATAGATTTCTCATAAGGGCAACAAGATGTTCTGGGATTCCCATGTTTCAAACCACATTCCACAGCTTGATATGATCAACACAATCCAAGGCTTTTCTATACTCGATGAAGCACATACTGACTTCTTTTTAGTATTCTTTGACTTTCTCAATTATCCAGCATGGATCAGCAATAATGTTGCATATTCCTTGGCTTTTTCTAAAGCCAGCTTGAACATCTGGCATCTCCTTTTCCATGTAGGGCCCTAACCTGTGTTGGTTGATCTTAAGCATTATTTGGCTGGCATGTGAAATTAAGAGCACCATACAATAGTTTCCACATACTGTTAAGTCTCTTTTTGGGAAGTATTACAATGTAGATTGTTCTCCGGATTTGCTGGCATAGCTTGGTTAGAACTTTTCTGATCCTTCTTCTGTTGCTTGCCATATTTCTATGGGTATTCCATTACTTCCTGTACCCTTCCAACTTGGTAATGACCAGAGCACTGTTCTCATTTCATCTTCTAGTTCTAGAGTTTCTTGTAAATAGGGAATGCTTTCCAAGGTATCTTGGATGTTGACATCTCTACTGTACAGTATTTTAGTATACGGATAGTCCTTGTTTAGCGACCACAACTGGGACCAGCAACTCTGTTGCTAAGCAAAGCTGTTGCTAAATGGGAAATTACGTGACCATGACTGTGCTGACAAGACTAATCAGTTTCACACCTTCTGCTTTTGTTTGCCTCCTAACCACTCCACCACCCTTTGGAACACCCACCCTGGCACTGGGATAATTAAGAATGGAATTAATGTTTGTATTGGGAGAGGAAGGCATTATAAGAGAGTAAGCAGGCACACAACGGGGAATACACATAGAGAGCAATGCACTGGCATCGGCAGCTACGAGTGTGCTACGCAAACAGCCCGGTGTATCCCCAATTGTCTGCCTGCTTATGCTCTTGTAATCCCTTCTTCTCCAATCACTCTGCAAGTGGGGGGGTACAAATAGGTCAGAAGAGATTGCCTACAAAAATCGCTTGGTTTTTTTCCTACCCCCTCACAATGGTGGGGGGGGGGAGAGAAAAAAGAACCATGTGTTGTAACACCTGGATAATCCCTTCATACAAACAGAGGTGCATTTTGCAGCTTGAATTTTTTCACCCCCCAAGAGCAGTGCTTACCTGACACAACACTCAACAGCACGAAACCAGTGGAGCATCTCATCATGAAGGGTACATAACTGAAGGCAGGAAAGGAAGACCTTCTCGGCATCACTGTACCAGCCAGCATCAGACAGGAATCCCCCTAGGAAGATCAAGATATCACTGCAAGAGAGAAAAGCCTGTTTCCAAAACACAATGGATTTTAAGACATCGATATCCCACTCTGACTCCAATGGTAATAAGATAAATATTGGGTCGCAACCCAGAATTTATCCTCTGTTTGAAACTACAGGAGTTCAAA